ATGGATCTGAACGTTTTAGCCAATTATATTAACGATTCAGAATTCCATGTTTTAGACTTTTCCTTGGGCATAACATGTCGGTTACATGTACTTTATTACAGTACTTCAATAAATTGAAATATTCAATATAATTTATAAACATTTTCTATAATTTCCTACTACACCCTATTTTGTTGTTTTTGCATTCTGCACAATATAATGTATGTGTTCTGGGCCTTCATAGTCAAGTAACCTCAGGTAGGAAAGTCATTAGAAACACTGCTGCCAATGTCTTAGAGGAATACTGCATTGTTAAAGAAAAGTTGACAAGGACATTGTGGTTTTCATGTTTGAAGTTTTCAACTGATGAGAACATTGCGTGACATTCAGGCTTTTAGGTTGGTGATTAAAATCCTTTAAGTGGAAGACTTGTTCTTGTTATTGATGATTATATATTTCTCTAAGCACTTGCTCATTAAAATGACCTGTCAAACATGTCTACATAACGTATGATGCTATATTTGCTGTATCAATAGGGCATACGCTTACATGAATGACATGACAGGACAGGTATATTTAAGTCATATATTTTAATGATTCAAAATACAATGAATGCAATTTTTGGTTTATGTACACTGCTATTGGAGAAACACTTCAAATAGTGCCAGGTTGGAATTCTAGTGAGGCAGCTGAAATAAGCCCTTGTATTTCTAAATAGAGCAAATACGGTATATTCCTGAAATTGTTGACAGTTTGCTTCACTTTCAACCAGAGCAATCATTATTGCTGGGAAAAGATTGACCAGCTTTGTTATTATTATACAAAGGAATAGCCAAAAAATGGAATCTATTTTATTCTAATAACATAACTGCATTATTATATTCCAACCCACAGAATATGAAAAATATATAAATAATGAATTTAATAGTCATTTTCATTAAAGTATTGAAAAGAAAAGCTTGTAATTAATTTAACCACTGATAAGCCAAGAGAGCATTATCTCTCATGTTCAATTGGTTTTGCTTGTTAGCGGATTAGATTAATGATGAAAGGCTGTGTTACAGGTACAGGAGTCCTATAATTATATTGCGTTGATGACGTTTATATGCATGTTGCCTAGTTGCAAAGCTGTATACTTGTATGACGCTTAGGTTGATTGTCTAGTGATGAATTTGTACTGCAAAATAAAATTATTTTATGCATTTTTAAAAAAAAATTACAATTAAGTGTTTTTTTCCACATTTTTTTTTTATTGTGAGTGACTACTAGTTCTGATTATTTTGTTTTAAGTCTGGTTTCAAACAGTGCTGAGTTACGAAAGTTGACGTGCATACATTTTGTATATATGATATGTGGTGATCGGGTCATCATATTTCCATTCAATTTATTTTGTGACATTTAAATCTCTTTGTAACCAAGATGAAAAATCAACAGAAGTCATAAGATGCCATATGTTAACATAATACCATGATAAACATTTTGGAATCATGTTTCCATTAGTGTCTAGACTAGGTTATGTCTTATTATGTTTTTTTTTAAATGAAAAAATTAAAAAAAGATAATTGCATGCAGTGTGTTCCATCTGACTGGTCGAGTGATATGCAAAATGAAGCTCTTAAATATTAGAAACTCAAACTTCGCAAGGGACATAAGTCATTTGGTTTTCAGAGAACACACTCATTTTCACAACACTGTACTTATAAGCAAGTTTAACGTGTCCTGTATACTAACTATACATGTATTAATTTAGGGGTTCATGTGTATATATGTATACATGGGTAAGTGGAATGGGACAATTTTAAAAACATTCTAGAATTAATTTTTCATTAGATTAAATGGATGCTCATGTTTAACAATTTGTAAGAAAAAGTAAAACCTTTTATTCTGCTGTTAACTCAACAATACACTGTGTACAAATTTTGGTAAAGAAATTGTATTTGCAGTTGAAAATTTGTTGAAGTTGGTCCATGTGTTTTTAGTGTAAAATAGCACAAGTTGAAGTCCAGCTTTTAGTTCACTGTCTTATCACTCTTTAAAAGAGAGCATGGTCGGTTTATATGACTCTTTTATTGCACTGCTAACAATCACTTGGTATATTATTAAACCTTACATGCTGAGGCCTTTATTCTCTTCTTTTTCTTTTAATTTATTGCAGTAAAATACTCTAACTTGGTCGAATGTTAATAAATTCAACACTTATCTTATTCAGAGGGTAATGAAATTCTATGTACTCAAGGATAAAGTCATTAATACTCAATTTGAAGCATTCTGTATTAGGTACTTGATATGTATGCCATCTACCTCTAAGTTTTGAGCAAGTGAAATGCATTTACTGTCTTCCAGTTATTTTGTACCAGATACAAGACTATGGTCAAACATGTTTATGCAGATTGGCTTAACCAGTCAAAATCAGAAAAAGACGCACTTGATATCATCGGGTGTATGTACATGCATCTAAGAGGATCTTTTTGGCCAGATCTATGTTGTGTAGTGGTACTGCTCTATCAGTACCTTCTTTCTCTATCTGCCAGCTCATACTTTTACATTGACTTAACCAGATAAAAGTACCGATAAATTACCGACTGATTTCTATCTCATAGTATCCAAACAATGATCAATAAAGACAAGGATGATGAAGATGCTAAGCGGATCAACAGCGAGGAGGAACAAAGCGATAATGATGTAGATGAACTGGATGGCGAGGGTGACATAGAGGATGAGGTCTACGGAGAGGCGGGGGAAAGCGGTGGCGAGGACGGAAAAAGTATTACAGAGAATGACAAAGAAAAGGCTGAAGACCAGCCAACAGCCATCAAGAAAAAGAAGAAGAAGCGGAAACGGTGAGTTATTATTTACTGTGTTGTTTCTTTTATTGTTGGTCTACATTGTATCTAGAATACTTTTGTTTATTTCTTTGTTGGTCAGCAACAATAGCTGGCTGTGCTGCATTGTATTGTGAAGAACCGAGTTTTTATTGTTAGAGTCAGCAATGGCCAGTGTTTAAAACTCTTTTCAGGTAACAATACTCACTGCATGTTTTAATTTGATGGCATTTTGCCAGGGTTTGAACAATTCCTACGTGACGCAGTATGTCTACAGTCTTCTTTATACGTACTAAACTGGTAGTCATATCTTCAATTTCAATACCAGTTAGCTTTTGTCAATTTTGAAAGCGAAGTTAAAAACTTGGATTGTTTTGATCTGTAAATTTTCTCAGGTCTTCTTGTGCGAGTAGGAACTTATAATGCCTGTGATATTAGATTCAGTCTGTCTTAAAAAAGCACATACTGCAGGTCTCGAAAAATCTTTGTGACGCTGTGGTGTAAATAATAGATACGTTAACCAAGGATAACAATAGAAAAAGTGTTAACTCAATTGGTATGTAAATTGGTCACTACGTTGACATGTACTGCAAGTGTCCATTAACTCACCTGTGATGAATGCTTGGTTTGGAGTACCCTTTATGGTACACTGCAAACTGAATTAAAATAGTCCAAAGGTGAATCAGGTTTATCTACATTACAATACAATAAATTAAGTATTAGAACCTGTTTACTGACATTAAAATATTGATCGACTGAACTTCAGATTATCCAAAGTCTTCTTGTCATCTTTGTCACGTAATAAAGTATGTCAAAGTTGCAAGATCAACACTGAAAAATTGCATACCGGTAGTATGTGCATGAATATAAGTCATCTCTGACTTGGTGTAATCACAGAACACTTTCTACTGAATAAGAACCATTGAATGTGAGGTACAAGTTGAAATGAATAGTGTTATCTGAATCCACCTATCAAGGTACATTTAGCAGAAATTCTGCTGTTTTAATAATGAAACCTATAATATAATAACCTATCATATCTTTGAAGTGATTATGTTTTAAATATTATTGAGTATGACAAGCATTCATTAATAATTAATATCATATATAAATGGTGAATGAATTCAAGTGGATTGCTTCAATACAATATATTGGCACCATCAAATTCCAATAGAGTCACTGTGAGATGAACAGGTATACTCCAATTATTATCATGGCCATCCTATTATCTTTTATGTAAATTTAAAAGGCGATCATTGTCATGCAGTGTGTAATCAAATTTGTTTACATGCATTGTATCTGGTGCATGGGATCCATGGGTCATAACGACCACCACTCTAAATTAATACATCGGCTGCTGAAAACCACCACAGATAGCTGATATCTATTGTCTAAAAAAGCTCCAACAGAGTTTTGTTAGAGGCTGTGTTGAAATAATTATATATTTTTTTTTTTAATAAATTTGCTTTTAATTGTTTATTTTAGGTGGATTGGTATCAACACAACTAACTGCAAATATGAATCAAGTAAGTGAAAATCTTTTGAAAAACCAATATCGTAAAGTTTTTTATTATTGTATTGAATAGGTCTAGTTACGACTGAGTGCCTGCTCTACGATGAATAATAGAGGCTTACTGTATGTAGTCACTTCTAGTTGTGACCTCATTACAATATGGGGGGCATCTAGTATTCACTGTCTAATCACTGATGTAAAGCTTTCACATAATTTTGTAAGGCTAACATTTTTTATACAGACAAACAACTCTTTTCTGTTTGATTCTTCTTTATGTGCAAAAGCATACAAGATGTTCTGATAAATCATTGTACAACTAACCTTATAAGTCAGGGGAACTGTTGCATACTTTAGGTTATCACACATGAAACCTTAGGAAACAATGTTACAAGAAAAATACAGCCATACATACAGTCTAGAAACACGTTGAATTCCTATTTACCCATATTCTAGACTAATTGCTGGTCCAACTTTTGATTGCATAATAATAAATGAATGTGTATAAATTTCAGAATTTTAAATGTAAGAATTAAATTCCAATATTTTTCGTGGTTCAGCTATTTCCAAAGTATTTTTTTTACAGTGATATGTAAATTAGGCATTCCTAAATCTGTATAGTAGTATTGGGAATGTTATGTGAAATAACTGATTGTCTGAATTTGCATGAATTGCAATACTGTAAAATGACTAATTTTCACTGGGTTTAAATTTCACTGATTTACCATTTTGGGCATATTCATTGGGTTTTAAATTCACGGTTTCGTCATTTAGATAATGTGTTCTATGCTAAATTTTACATATTCACTGGGTTTTAATTTAGCGCATTTTTCCAGTCAGCGAAATAAGCTAATTTAAAACCCAGTGAATAATTACCCCCTTTACAGTATGTGATACATTTTCAAATTTTAACGATTTTTAATTCGTCTAAAAATTGTTTAGTCCTCCTGAAATGTGGTTTGATCTCAGTCTATGGGGTCATGGGGAATATATGATTCTTTCTGCACACATGTGTTGTTTCATTTCTAAATATAATACTGAGCTTGGCTTAAATCTTGTTATTCTAGTACGAAGAGTTGCCAAAAGGATGGGTTTCCGGGAAGTGGGTGAAGATGAAGACTGGTCGCTGTATTGGACAGATTATTCAGTAGCGCTGGAAAGAGTTATGGAAATGAAAAGGTTTCAGGTATGTTTCTTTAAGTCTGCCAAATAGAAAGAATTTAAGTGTGTTTTTTGTGTGTGTGTGTGTGTGTGTGGGTTTCCCTTTGATGTCTATTATACATGATGCATAAATCAAATTCAATTCTGTCTTTCTCCTGTTTATATAACTACAATACATCTACCAATGTAGTAGCCTTGATATTTATCGGGTATGCATGAGTGATGGAGATATCTTTCAAGGAAAATTTCTAGAACCTTCCATATGCCCTAAAAAACCTGGATGACGTATTTAACAACCTAGCAACCAAACATCCAACCTACATGTAGCAACCAAACATGGCAGATTGATGACAAAACATAAACAAACATGTGGTGCAGTTGTCATGCCAACACTTTAATTGTATATGTCACGGTTGATTTGCCCATTTTATCATCACGCTTAATTTATCTGTTCCTGGTGATATAGCTACTCAGATTTTCACTTCAAGTTATGAAAATAATAATTTCATATGAAGACTCTATTCACTTTATAGTCTAGTCACGGTTCGCTTGGTATCGATGTAATTAAATTCTCTACAACATGCGATAACTGTGTGGTCACGGGCAAGTCTTCCAATGTCACGCTTTTGATTTTGGAATATTTTGAATGCTGTTTACTCTTCTGTGACTAATAACATCAAAGTATTCTGCATGATAACCTTGGAGTGACTTTATCAACCATGAACCTCATGTTGAACTTGTTTGGGGTTTTTGCCAGTATAGCTATGGCAATAGCTACAAAGTGTTACCTTTTCTTGTTAATTGTGTTTTTTTTTTCTCATTAATAGAAAATTAACCATTTTCCTGGTATGAGTGAGATTTGTCGAAAAGATTTACTAGCCCGTAATATGAACCGTCTTTTGAAGCTGTTTCCTAAAGAGTTCAATGTTTTTCCAAGATCATGGTGCCTTCCAGCAGAGTGAGTATCCACAATAACATTCTAGTTCTAATTTGCAAAAATGGTACTTCATCATTGATGACGTATACGAAATCCATTTTCACATAAGTTTATTTGATTGCCTTAAAATTTCGTTTTTGTAGAATAATTAATTGTTGAATGCAACAGATATACATTTGTTTGATACATCACCTGCTAAAAGCCTCCATGCATAGCAAAGATGAATAGAAAAAAATGGAGTAAAACAGGTGTCATACATTGCATCATAGTAAAAATATCAATGGAGAAGATGTTAGCATCAGATGAAAACAAAAAACTTTGGAAATTTTAATTTGTGCCGTATTTCATCGACTAAAACACTTTCTCATAATGGCAGATGTAATACCAATTGTAGTATGTTTGATTATTAATTTCAAAAATATCACCAAATGTGTACTCCAAAAATTCTGCAATTGCATGACCACCATGGAATTTAACAGACATTTTGAGAGACTACAAATTTGAGTATATGATCATTGCATTTTATTCCCAATGTCATATACAATTCTAGCCTAGAATCAGGTTTACAATTTACTCATTTCCCCATTCTCATATCTTTACCATTTTCTTCCTTTCAGCTATGGTGACTTTCAAGCCTTTTGTAGGAGTAAGAAAAATAAGACTTACATTTGTAAACCGGAAAGCGGGTGCCAAGGAAAAGGAATCTTTGTTACAAAAAATCCAAAAGATATTAAGCCCGGGGAACACATGCTGTGCCAACAGTACATTTCAAAGGTAGGTATAATGCAAGTGATTGTCTGTTCTATGTTGAGTATTTCATTTTGAGGTGGCTGCTGAAAAAAGTAATCAAAAATCTATTTCTTGGGAGCTATGATGATTTGAAATTAAAACAAATATTGTAAATTTTTTTTATTTTGCAAGAGACATGATTTTTGTAGCCGTGAAAATTGCACTGGGGTCATAAAGTCTTTCTCAAAATGCTGCTCTCCTGAACACTAAATTATTGAAAGCAGCAAAAATTTAAATGGGTTACAGTAATTACAAAGTTTGCATTGACTTTGTTGTTTGTGTCTTCCAGCCTTTTGTTATAGATACGTTCAAATTTGACCTACGTATATACGTACTTGTGACATCCTGCGATCCGTTTCGGATATTTGTACATGAAGACGGCCTAGCCAGGTTTGCAACAGTCAAGTACATTGAACCATCCTCCCATAATGTGGTGAGTTTTGTTGTCTTTCTTGTATTTGTTATGGGTTCTGATGTACAGCTTTAAGGTGGCTTGCTTTTTAACTGCAACATATGTAAATTGTGCACAGTAAATTGCCTAAATATGTAGGTAATGTAGGTGAATACTAAGAAGAATAAGTTGAAATTATTGATGACACTGATACGCTCTTTAAAAATAGTCAGCTTATGAAAGTCAGCTGATAGCCAGTCTGCAAGTTAGGTTAAGTTATGCCCAGACTGTACTGTACATGTGAGATAGATAACTTAGGTCATAGAATGACTGTACTACCTGTTGAAACATTTAATTTATGATCCCATTATCGATTAGTTGGTTGCTTATGTTCGACCAGGTCTACCATGGGATACTACTTTAAATAGTTATAATACCACAAAAGTCATAAAAAACATTTCCTCTTTGAAATGCCGTAGTGAACTTTTGTCAATATTCAACATGCATTATTTTCATATGGTTCAGAATTAACACAGAAAGTATAAAAAAAATACCGTAAAATCTGTATTAGAAGCCACATCTCTAATATAAGTCGCACCCATTCTTATTGAGCAATTGAGTACCAAACATTCACAATTTCGCATACGTGTAGATACTCTAATTGAAGCCGCATCCCTTCTGTTGCATTGTACCATTTTAATAGAAGCCGCATCTTCTAATACAGATTTTACAGTACTTCAAAATGTTGCACATTCTGGTGATAAAAACTATGGCATTAAACAAGTTGTACTTACATCATACATCTTTATTTGTAACATGTATTGAATTATTTATCTGTTCTTTTTATTTAGGATGATGTATGCATGCATCTCACAAACTATGCAATTAATAAACACAGTGATAATTTTGTAAGAGATGATGACAGTGGTAGTAAACGGTAAGTATATAAAATTAAATACACCGCCCCAAAATAATGGTTTGGATATATTTTGACAAATCTTGTATTCTAGCTAAAATAAAATATTCCCCAGTGTACATTTTTGTGCATTCATCATACTTATAACTGTGAGTTTGTTGATATCTACAGAAGAATTACCACTGTTAATAAATGGTTTGAAGACCATGGCTATGATGTCAAAAAGATATGGGGAGATATTGAAGATTGCATTATTAAGACGCTCATCTCAGCGCATCCCATCTTAAAACACAACTACAGGACTTGTTTCCCAAACCATATGAAAGGAAGTGCATGTTTTGAAATCCTTGGCTTTGATGTCTTACTTGATAAAAGATTGAAACCTTGGCTTCTTGAGGTTGGTCTAATTAGGTTTGCATTTTTTGCCAGTGTGTGTATGTAATTCCCCTTGAGCACTGCCAGTATTCTTGAACATTCACCTGGGAATGGTGATAAGGATTATGTAGAATTAACCCATAGATCATAACTATCCCCTGTCTAAAAGAATGTTTTCTGGATTGTATTAATTTGTGTTAATCACATTTTGAATGTCAGGTAGACACTTTACTATACTATGCTCACTTAATTGTGTATTTTTGCGAAGTACAGAATACCTCCATATACCAGGGCTTGAATTTCACAGAGGCTCTGATATACTGTAACAGTACATGCATTCAGATATGACCAGATGTTACAGTGTCACTGTGTTGTCGTCAAGCATTCGTTTGTGTAAACAAACAATTTATCCTACATGTTTCAGGGTTTGAAGGCGATTCACTAGACTGGCAAAGTTGGGACTTCATTTTTGTTTTACATAAAAATATAATTAATTATCAATTCAGCCGTTTTAGCGTGATTGCGAAAACTAGCGTGACCACGAAAGAAATCCCGACTGGACGCATCTGCAGGTGACCCCCTGCGTTGGAGTGAAAACTGAAATCACTCCGGTGATTATGCTAATTAAAAGCTGTTGACTAGCACTGATATGAATCAGAGTGCAGCTGTATACGTCATATCTTATCTATGTTAATGTACGTGATCTTTCACTTCTGAGGTCCCGGCGATTTTGAAAACTACTTATATACATTGGACATTTATATCAACTTGTTTTCAGTAAACATGGATGAAAGTATTGCCTTCGCACTTAGAAAGTTAAAGTATCCATCTCTGCGATCGAATCAAATCAACCTTTAAAAGGTCATGTTTACTTTCACACACCCACTCATGAATAATCAATGACATCATGAATAATTAATAGCAGTCAAATGCCCGCAGATACGTCCAGTCGGGATTTTTTTAGCAGTCAGGTTAATTTTCGCGATCACGCTAAAAGGACTAAAAGAACAATTAATTATTTCTTTTCGTAAAACAAAAAAGAAGTCCTGACTTTGCCAGTTTAGTGATTCACCTTCATCATGCCACAGCCATTGCTGGCAAATTTGCATTCCATGCCTCGCTTTCAGGTCCCCTTGCAACAATACAATACATGTACTTACAATTCGCTGTCATTACGTTCCATCAACGTGAAAGCAAGGCTTGGAGCGCAAATGGTCAGCAATAGGCCGTGGCATGATAAAAGTGAATTGCCTTCATGCCCAACTGGTTTGTCTTGTTCCCCTGTACAGATAATTTTGTATATTATTCCTACACATCTATTCTCTTAGCCACTTTTACAAGATGAAGCCTTGAAACTTGAAAGGTTTAATCCCACCATGTTGTGTGCATCTGCATTTTGACTTGATTAAAGGGCGGCTTTTGATACGCAGCGCATGTTACAATGTTTACGACTCTGAGATGATGCTAAATTTCATTTATGTTCATCATTTTCATTACAGGTGAACCACTCTCCAAGTTTCCACACAGATGCTCCTCTTGATAAGGAAGTGAAAGAGTCACTGTTATTGGACACAATGAATATTCTGAATTTCACGCCATTTGACAGGAAGAAATTCATAGATGAGGAAAAACGGAAGGTCAAAGAAAGACTATTCCAGAGACAAAAACCGAAAGAGCAGAGGTAAACAAACTGATCATCTGGTTTTTGATTTGTAATTCAATATCTGTTTCAATAATGACAATTATTAATATTACATCATCAGATTGTGATATTCCAATGAATACAAAATAGATACGTTGAGATTCACTGTGCAGTGAAATACTGTAGACAACATTATAATTTTACAAGAGAAACATTTCTAGTTGGTAACATCTATAGGGGTCTTTTAGGATGGGTGCAGACTAGTCAAACCTGTGGAAATTTTAGAAGAATGACAAAGAAAAAAAAATTGGGGTATCCAAACTTTTTATGCAAAACAGTGACTTCACGATTTCTTTGGCAGCCATTTGGGATTGAAAAAATGAGCAAAATGAGCATACAATGACAACAAAAAGTATTTCAGGTACTGTATATAGTTATTCTTTGAAATTTAAAACAAGCAAACACAAAAAATATTTGAGTGAATTTCAGGAAATTTTTGTCCAAAAAGTGAGTGAGCAGCAACCCATCTGTAAGATGGAATTAAAGTAATTTTCACAAATGCTTGCCCTAACAAGTACCACTATGTCATCAAAATGTAAAAATTGATACTAGTTGTTTTGATTGCATAGCATAATGCTATTAATTTAATTATCCAAAGCTAATTCCGCCATATTCTTATTCAAAGTTTATTTATTTTTTGTTTATTTATCTCAACAAGACAACAAGAATATGAGGAAAGTCAAGCTAATTACTTGGAAATGATGGCAAAATGGGAAGATAAACACATGGGTCGTTTCAGGAGAATCTACCCAATTGAAGGCTCTGAGAAATATGACAAATTCTTCCAACACAGTGGCTCGTTGTTTCAGGAGACAGCTGCTTCCAAAGCAAGGGGAGAATGTGCGAGGTACGTGTCATTAGGGTCAACTTTAATCATTATCCACACAAAAGATGTGTTCAAATTCTGCTTCTTTCTCTGAATTTACAGTACCATATTTGCTTTATTAGAAACGCATCTCTAATGCAAGCCATGTACTTGGATCTATTTATTCTAACTTCTAAAACAGATCATTCCTGTGAGCACTTCTAATAGAGCAAACAGTAAATGCCACGTGTGTTGGCTAATTTGTACAGGGATATTTCTCTATTCATTAAATATTAAGTTTAGATCTGATTGAAACTAGTATTATGTGTATTGTTATCTGTATTGATTGTGGCCAGACAGATAAGCAGTACATCAAGTCTTAGTGGTGTATATAATTAAAAGTACTGCTCTCCTCAGTGATAAAGGATTACATTATAATATCTTTCATCACCAGACAACAAAGAGAGGAAATCAGGCAGAAACAAGAGAAACTTGAAAGTATGCTTAAAAAGGGAAAGGATAAAAAAGATAGAGATGGAATGAGGCCAGAAAGTCCTGGTGCCAAGAGAAGGACACGTCCCGTCACAAGGGCATTACCAAGACGATTAATGCAAAACAGGTCACATAGTGATGTAAGTCGTTCACACATGGTTTTTCCAGCTAGTTACTCATCATACAGTGAATGTGGAGCATGAATTAATTCTTGTATCCACTACTTTATTGTCATAGCATATCAGAATCAGGCCAGTATTGTGCGTTGTTCCAAGAGCTTTACTTTTCACTTGAACAATGTTAAAATCATAACAAACATCATTGGATGTGTGGATATTTGTGTAGTTTAAAGTAAAAGCTCATTGTGTCTCTCGTGCACACCAAGTGCAAGTTCAATCCGACCATTGACTTTTAAATATATAATTTTTCATTTCCCCAGCCATGCACTCCTAGCAGACCTCAAGACTGGGAACCCATAGACACTAGCATCCCTATGGAGATTTGTGAGGACGAAGAACTTGAACGCATTAGTGCTTTGCTACAGCGTGACAACTTAGTACGCGGTTTAGGCGTAGTGGAGCACGTCTATAGGTTATTGCATTGTACGCCGGGCACTGTCGGTGTTATGAAGAATGCAGATAGACAGCTACATGTAAGTTGCCTGCATTGAGCATGTGCTAACAACTTTGCATTGTGTGCTTGACTTAACATCATTCATCGTTTGATATGTGGTTCTTCTAACAAATTTATTAACATTAGCAAGTGTAGTAATGATTCTTACAATGTACGCGGACGATATTTGATAATTAGTTGCGGTTTAAACATGTTGAGTAGATCAAGTTCAGGTTATTCTTTAATGCTTTCACATATTAGGATGACAGTCAAGATTATTTGATTGACAACGAAGAGGCTGTCGTATCAGTTAGTCCCCGAACCAGGAAACGATGGTCGGAGTTGTACAACAAGCGGAATCCTTTTTTAGACCATCTAGAATCAATACCAGTTAAGAACATAGTGGAGAAAAGCCCTCATTTTTTTCAAGCTGAGCAAGAACTAAACGAAATTATCAAACATGATAAAAGTATATTAAGAGTAGCTTCGTGTGAGTTTAATAAAAATGGTAAAAATGATAGTAAGAGTGAGACAGGAACAGATAAGAGAACAGATCCACCAGAAAATTCTGCCCTCACAAATCGAGAAGAGCTTGTTGAGGAGATGGTACAAGAACTAAACCTTCGGGAGTTATTATGCAAGAAATGTGGTAGATGTCGACAGCAGCATTCTGGAAAGTATAGGCAGTCAGGGAGAAAGGTAAATGTTGAAAGGTAGCTAGTATAGAATAAGATAAAGCAATTCTAGGTACATGAGGAACATCTTCTAGATTTACGTGATATTCTTGGTGGCTGTTGGCATTTCCACTTCAATTTGTATAGCTATGTTGTTCAAGCATTGCTTGTTTTTATTTAGATTAAATTAATAAGGATAAATTTTTTTTTTTTTTTTTAATTTATAATTCATTATTTTTTTTATCAAATTTAATTTAATTAAATTCAGTTTAATGGCTTTGTAATAAATAATATTTATTTATATAAAACAATACTATACTATGTAAATTGAGCATTGCCAGTCATCATGCATGTGATTTGGTTAATACAGCAAACGCCGCATGTTCCATATTTTTTTTTCCATTTTATGCATGCAGGCTGAGATTAGCCAAGCTGACAACAACAACCCGCAGCTGAACATCAAATCGAATCAGTTAACACTTAGCGAACACACCAATATTAACATCTCATCTGATCAGTGTGGTGGTAAACAGTCCAATAACACTACCACTACCACCACTAGCACTCATGGCATACTGCCGCCTCAGCAGGTGATTCCATTGCTCTTTTTTTTTTTACATCTCTCTGTCGGTGTCTACTCATGTCTGTGTGTCTGCCATGCAGTGTGTGTGTGTGTGTGTTTGTTTGTTTTATTAACTCCTCACTTTATCACTGATTGACATCCCTGCACTTTACTTACATATCTTACATCATGCGGGGTACTCAATCAAATTGCAAGATGACTTGTCTCTATCGTCTTACTTTATTTTCAGACTTATAGAAGAAAAACAAAAATTCAAAAATATTTTATCTTAATTTTTTTTTTATACTATTCTCCATATTCTCAAAGGCAATGTTTATTGAATTCCCAATGCTGAATGACTACACACATTTTACTATTTAAGTTATTCTGGAATGTTCAACCCTATCTACGTAATATCTCCTACCAGTGGTGATGAAAAAAGATGCGAGAAAGACTTTCATTCATTTTTTTTCAGTACACCCAAATACTACTAGTATCACATGCATACACTTCAGACAACATAAAGTGTTAAATTTAATTGCATATATTGTGTTAGAACATGTGGTTTGCACTCTCTAAAAAGGGTTTATATTCCATGAATTCTATCAATATACCGGTATGCAAGAAATTCAGCTCAAATTTGTACGTGGCATTTTTTTTTCGTTGCGTCGCGGATGTTCAAATTGTGCATCTACAAACTACATTTGAACGTGCGTGGTGCAACAACTGCAATTCTTAATGTGTTTAATCAACAAAATACTGTTATTTGTTCCAGTCTCAATATATGATATCTGACCTACTCTTTTGGTGTTATAGAGTCATCTTTGCATGTCCATGTTTAAGAGTTTGTAGTAAGCATGGTTATGCATGTAATATTGAATACTAGAGTGGAATTGTTACCATGGCTAGTAACCGCTATAATGTTTATTTTATACAGGGCAGTGCATCTTCCTCCATGGGCAGCAAACAACATTTATATTCCCATAGTCATAATACACTTATGTCGTCACTGAGCAACCAGTGGCAGAATTCACTCGGTAGAAACAGTCGAGTGTTAGGCCAGGTGATAGGACATCAAAATGCAGTACCGGCCACACTTGCACAGCGGCATCGTTTTGTGCCGAGGAAAGGTTTTAACACGTACGTTAGGGAGAACTCAAAAACAATAAGTAGTGTTGTACCTGAGAATGAATGGCGTCAGATGTCTGTGTTAATGGATACTGATTCAAAGACAGGTGGCTCAGCTGGTCTGGGTTCACGTGCTAACTCTTATGTCGCGAGTCAACCATCCAGTGCCAGTGGTGGTAGTGACTGGAGATGTAATGACTGTGCCACTCAACAGACTACAGGCCATCATCACACGAGGAGAATACTTAGTGCAAATGCTAGCCAAAGACAGAATTCTGGTGGTGAGTGAAATTTCTGGTCAGCAAGAAAAATTATATTTCTCCAGTTCTAAATTCAATATTAGCACATTGAAAGCCCTGTGGTCATGAACTCATCCAGCCCTTTACTTCCAGAACACACCTATTTTTTGTGTTTATTAACCCAGTCTCCAAAGTTCATCTCCCGAGTTTATTATACCCTAAAACCCACCTACCCAAACCATATCTAATGAATCCAGCTGTTTGGTCCATGAACAAATCCACCCAAAGCTCATTTCAT